GGCTCACATTGTTTTCGTTCTGTTTATTTATTTATTTATAAGATTTTTGATCGGCTGTAGTACAGAAACAGCTGCAACAATCAARGTGAAATTTGGTAATGTCGATGTGTCTGACCTACACTGCGCCACCCAACGGTTTTACAGTAGACCCCATATTTCAGGAGGGGGCTCCATCTAAAAAGTGTGTGTCTGGATATACAAAACTGCTTATAACTCAAAAACTATTCAACATAAGAGCATCAGATTTTWTTTGTTGCTTCGCTCTGATGAGGGGTTATCCATCGGGCCCACCAATGAGCCCCACCCTCACCTGAAAAGGGGGTGTCTGGACATACAAAAATGCTTATAACTCAAAAACTATTGAACATGGGAGCTTCAGGGTTTTATTTATTTTTTTGGCAATCCAATGAGCACCCCACCCCCACCCAAAACAAAATTTTGGGATGCACCTAGCAGCATGAAATTTGATAGGAATATAGATGTATCGACCTACACTAAACCAGCCAACAGTTTTACATTAGACCCCATATTTGAAGAGGGGGCTCCATCTAAAATCAGCAAAAATGCTTAGAACTCAAAAACTACTCAACAGAGCAGCTTCAGATTTCTTTCTTTGTTGTTGTTGTTGTTGTTTTTGTTGTTGTTGTTGTTGTTGTTGTTGTTGTTGTTGTTGTTGTTTAGCTTTGATGAAGAGCTGTAAATCAGGCCCACCACTGAGTGTCCCCCACCCCCTCTAAACCTTCACCAAAATGCGTTGGTGCTCTGCAAATGTGTTGGGGTCATATACAGTATGCTACCACTATGCGGTATCTAGTTTGATATATGTTTCATACAGCTTAGAAAAACTGCAAAGAATGTCTAACATATATAAAAGTGAATTAATTTGAACATTTTTACACGTTTTTTTTTTTTTGCCCTTTATGCTCTCAATGTTGTTACAGCAGGGAGAACTTGAATCATAAGGCCAGAAAACAATTAATGGAGACAAAGCACTATCTCCAGCAGACATTTGTTCAATGTGTTTGACATTGACAAACTCAGATTTCATCAGGGAATCAATTCTTATAAGCTTTTGATTGTTTGTGTGATGTCCTAGWGATGGGAACAAAGCAGTGTTTTCTGTATGGTGGTTTTCCTGCACTTGTCATTTCTCAAGTAGATCCAAATGTGTTCTCGGCTGCTACGTCCTTTTGCCTTGGAGTTAATTGATATGTGCTGTATGTAACCAGAAGCTGACGTACTAATGGACTAAACTAATTTTTCAAATTACAGTGAGCCCTTCCATGCCATCGTAAGGTCATTCTTTATTGCAACGCATTTAAAACTGGCTGCTGTGATTAAAGTAATGTACAGGGGGTGCTTCAAAGTTTGTGGGCCTCTTAAAATTCTCAACATTTTTACAGAAATATGAGCTGAACATTACCAGATTTTTACACGTCATAAAGAAAATTTAAAAGGATTGTTCATTTAAACTAATTCTGAAAAAAAGTGGTCTTTTACTTTCCGGAGAAAGTACTCTGTTATGCATCTGTAAGGGTCAAAAGTAGGTGAACCTCTATAAACTGAAGATAATAGGAGAGTCAGGTGTTTATTGGGATGACYATGTTCTGAGAAGGCATCTTTAATAAAAGAAGAAAACTGGTCTTCACAACGTTGTTGTGAAAGTAATAAAACAAGGGATCCCAACAGGGTTGTATAAAGTACCTCAAAGTGATATTTAAGTAAAAGTACAAGTACCTTACCAAAAAATTGCTTTGGTAAAAGTTTTTTTTAAAATGTTACTTGAGTAAAAGTCTTAACGTTGTAAGAAAAATTCGTATTCAATAAACTGAAGTCGATATTAAAACCACCATTGTTAAATAAAATGATTTGTAGAAGGAATCAAACCATACAACACCAGAAT